CTGGCCTAATGGGCTGAAAGACAGCAGTGGCCTCTGGATTATAAATATCCCTGTCCTGACAGGGCTTTTAGCAGCCCGGTCAATAGCCCATCAGACTGGCTAATGTCTATTAATGTGGGTCCTCCCACAGAAACCCTCTTAGGCACAGGGCCGACCAGCCTCCGGGGACCGCCTGCCATCCTCGGTTCATTAAGGAAGAGAAGCTGCGTGGGGCTGGGGCCTCTGCTCTCGGAGGCCCGGGAGGAGCGCCCGCCCGAGCCAGGCCTGGCTCTCAGGCACCTCCGAGTCCGAGGCTCACAGAGCCTCAGTCTGGAGTCTGAACGGGGCTCCTGGGCACATTGCCTCCAGTCAGCTAAGGCAGGGACAATCCGCTCTCTCGAGAAACCTTTCTCAGGGCAGAAACTGGGGCTTGGCCCTGAGCCAGAGTGCAGAGATCAAGGCCTTGAGAGCACCTGGGTACACCGCAGCCAAAGACAGTGCTGCTGACTGCTTTGGCCCTTTGGCCCAGAAAATGATCCAAGAGAAGGGAAAGCCTGTGTGCAGGAAGCGGGTCAGGACAGCGACTCGGAGAGGGCTGGTGCTCCCTCTGACCACGGTGAGCATGCCACAGGCTCACGCTGGGCTCCAGCCCAGCTCTGCCCTTCACCTTCCCCGTGACCCTGGGCCAGTTCCTCCTCCAGTCCGGGGGGCGGGGGCGGGGGCGGGGGTGGTCAGTGATCCATTAGCAATACCTGCCACAGGTGCAGGCTAGTTGAGCTTTGCTGTGTTTTTTTTTACCATTCCTGATCGCAGAGCCCCTCAGGTTCTGCAGTTTTATCAGAAATTTTTAGCTAATCCTGCAAGGACCTGATCTTTTCAGAAAGTCTAGTCTTAAATACCTTTTTTTAAAAAAAAATCATTTATTCTTAATCGAAGGATAATTGCTTTACAATGTTGTGTTGGTTTCTGCCATATATCAACATGAATCAGCCACAGGGATACACGTCCACTCCCTCTCGAACCTCCCTCTTAAATACCTTTTTATTGCAAAATTTTACACAGTGTTTATAGTTTAGAAGACAAAATTTTAAGATACAGAGGATGATTTTTTAAAAAGCCACACCCATTTAGCTCACCGTATAGAGATAACCATGAGTAACATTTTGATGCATTTCCTTCCAGTCTTTTTTTCTCAACTTTAGTGTACATGTGTGGGACTTCCCTGGCCATCCAATGGTTAGGGCTCTGTGCTTCCAATGCAGGGGATGTGGGTTCCATCCCTAATCAGGGAGGAACTAAGATCCCTCATGCCAAGAGGCACAACCAAAAACTTTTATTTAAAAAAATATATATATATATGTATATATAGACATATGTAGATGCATATGTGTGTTGGCAACCCACTCCAGTACTCTTGCCTGGAGAATCCCATGGACAGAGTAGCCTGGTAGGCTACAGTGCCTGGGGTCGCAAAGAATCGGACACAGCTGGAGCAACTTAGCACACATGCATGTGCGTGTACACACACATGTACGCATGATAAAAGCTCTTATTGGAGCACTTCCTGTAGCAGATCACTGTTGGACTTTTCAGCCACAGTACGTCATTTTACCCTCATCGCCCTGCAAGGGAGAGATTATTCGTCATATTTGGGACAGTGGAGAATGACCTAGTGGCTGGAGCGCTGGTCCCTGGGAGACCTGAGCTGGGCCCGTGGGTGCTGGGCCCTCACTCCAGGTGCTGCCTTGCTGCTCTCGTCCCTGCCCGGGGGCCCGTTTTCTTCATCCATGAAGAAGGCTAAACCACCTGAGAGACGTTGATCTTTTGCTCGCCTCCTCACACAACACTATCAAATGACACATCCAAAGTCTTTATTTTCTCTCTCTCTCTCTCTCTGAATGTCTGTTGTTGTTTAGTTGCTCAGTGATGTCCTCTTCTTTGCAGCCACATGGACTGCAGCGTGCCAGGCTCGCCTCTCTTTTACTATCTCCCAGAGTTTGCTCAGATTAATGTCCATTGAGCTGGTGATGCTATCCAACCATCTCATCCTCTATCACCTTTCTCCTATTGCCTTCAATCTTTCCCAGCCTCAGGGTCTTTCCCAATGTATGTGAAAGTACTTTTTTGTTTTCTAAACCCTTTGATGGTAAGTTACCTATATCTTTGCCTTTTATCCCTAAATATTAGTATGTTTCCTAAAAATAGGAATTTTTTTCTTACATACCCACAGTACGTTATCAAATTCACTCAGTTGAGCTTTACAATACTTTTATCTACCATTCACGTCCCAGTGTCTCAAATAATGTGCTTTATAGGGTTCCCCCTCCTGGAAGGGATCCAGTCTAGGGAGAGATGTCTAAGACCCTTTCCCAAGGAATGAGATCGGAATTGGGCAGAGGATTTCTGAAGGGGAGCCTGGGACCACGGCCTGTTCTCAGAGCTGAGATGCATGAACCAGAGGCTCAGGTGTCTGTCTCCTAGTCTGCCAGAGGTAATGGGGTGCCCTATGTCTGTAGTCAAGGCAGCTGCCCTCTCTGGAGCCCTGGGCGGCAAGGCCATAGAGCGTCCCTGGTCTTCACTTCCTCTCCCTTGGGCATGGTCTCAGGGCATCCCACAAGAGTGCAGGGGTCTCTGCAGAGTTGGGCAGGTGAGGGAAGAAGAGCCTGTGGGTGAGCCCTGAGTTCACTCCGTCCTTGAAAATACATTTCTAAACATCCCTGAGATTATTAGTTCTGTGAGGTCAAGTACTGCGTCTCGCGTTCAGCCAGCACTTCGCCTTGGGCCTGTCCTCCAGGTTCCCTGTAAGGATCTGCCAGGTGGGTGGGTGTCGGCCAGTTTTCTTCTCCCCTGTCTCCTTTGCTGAGATGTAAGGTGGAGCCTTCCGGTGGGCGGGCTCTGGAACCTGAGGATGTGGGCGCTGTCTGCGTTGGCAGGCAGAGGGCCCGGTCCCGGGCCCTATACTGCCAGGGCCATGCAGCGTGATGTGTGAAATCTGTGTGCGGGTCCCCGCCAGCCACCAGCTTCTGTGCTTCACCTGGTGTCGTTTTCTCGTGACCCAGGAGTTCTCAGCTGCAGGCCCGTGAACCTTGTGTGTCCTCCCAGCCCCGAGACAGGCGTTCTCAGCAGGAAAGAGGGGAAGGGAGGAAGTGCCCTTTCTTTTTTCTTTTCTTGATTGCTGTGTTTTTGGCTGTGCAGGCTTCTCTCCAGGTGCGGTGAGTGGGGCTCCTCTCTCGTTGCAGCGCGCAGGCTTCTCGCGGTGCTTCCCTGCGTGTGCCGCACAGGCTCCGAGGGTGCCCGGGCTTCAGAAGCCGGAGCTCCCTGGCCTGCAGCACCAGCGCAGTAGTTGTCGGGCACGGGCTCAGTTCCATGGCGTGTGGGATCTTCCTGGATCAGGGATTGAACCTGTGTCTCCTGCATTGGCAGCTGGATTCTTAATCCACTGTGCCCCCAGGAAAAACCCACCCTTTCTTTTTAATTGAAGTATAACTCACATGCTTCCCCTGTGGCTCAGCTGGTGAAGAATCCACCTGCAATCCGGGAGACCTGGGTTGGGAAGATCCCCTGGAGAAGGGAAAGGCTCCCCACTGCAGTGTTCTGGCCTGGAGAATCCCACGGACTGTGTAGTCCACGGGGTGGCAAAGAGTCGGACATGACTGAGCGACTTTGACCTTCATAACTCACATACTGTAAAATTCACCATTTAAGTGTGTGATTCATTGGGTTTTAGATACTCACATGTTGTGTAACCGTCACCACTAATTTGAAAATAACTTCATCACCGCAGAAACCCCATTCCCATTAACAGCCACTCATGCCCTTCTCCCCCAGCCCTAGGCAACCACTAGTCTGCTTTCCGTCTCTATGGATTTAACTGTTCTGGATTTTTGTTGTTGTTGCCACACCTAGACGCTTCTGGGATCTTAGTTCCTCAACTTGAGACATGCCCAGGCCCCCAGCAGTGACAGCAGAGTCCTGACCACAGCCAGGGAATTACCCCTGTCCTGGACATCTCACATGCCTCAGTCAGGGGTCAGGGTTCCGGGTACCAGGGGGTGCGTCCCTTTGCTCAAGCAGCAGGGCCACATCGGGTGCCTCATCTAAGCGGAGTCACGCAGGATGTGGCTTTTCGTGTCTGGTGTCTGCCAGCTAGCATGATATTTTCAGTGTTCACCCACATTGCAGCCTGTGTCAGTACTTCATTTCATTTCATGAATATACTGGGGCTTCCTGGGTGGCTCAGCGATAAAAGAATCTCCCTGTGCAATGCAGGAGACGCGGGTTCTTATCCCTGGGTCGGGAAGATTCCCCTGGAGGAGGAAATGGCAACCCACTCCAGTATTCTTGCCTGGAGAATCCCACGGACAGAGGAGCAAGGTGGGCTATAGCCCACAGGGTCGGAAAGAGTTGGACACGACTTCATTCCCTTTTTTGAAAAATATTTCATTGTATGATTATACTATGGTTTTATAATCTATTTATCCATTTATGGACATTTGGGTTGTTCCCACCTTTTGGCTATTTTGAATAATGCTGCTGTGAGCACTGGTGTACAGTTTTTTTTGTAGACCTGTGTTTTTATTTCTCCCGGGGCTGTACCTAGGAGTAGCATTATGGGGTTAACTCTGTTTAACCTTTTGAGGAGCTGCCAGACTGTGTTCCTCAGTGGCTGCACCATTTTTGCATTCCTGCCAGCAGTATTTGAAGAGAAATGTCCTTTTATTAAACACCTACCATGTGTTAGACACTTGCGCTAGACCCTTCCCATACCTCACCTCCTGTGAACCTCACTTGAACTCTGAAATATCTCTTACTGGCTCCATTTTCCTGAGGCTCAAAGAGGTGTCATGACTCCCCCAGGGTCACACAGGGATTCGTGGGAAGTCCTGGATTCACTGCTAGCTCTGCCCTCTATGTCTTCCTGTCCACGCAGTGACTGCTGGCTGCCCTAGTGACCCTCCTCCAGACGCTAAAGTGGAATAAGCCGCATCCTCTCCTCAACCTCCCTGGGTACTGTTTTACAGACAGGAAAGTTGGACCCCCACTACCCGAAGGTCTGCGGGCACAGAGGGAATGTCTTAGATGTCAAATGGAACCCTTTCAATGATTTTGAGATCGCCTCCTGTTCTGAAGACGCCACGGTGAGTGCCCCTTTCCCGAGAGGAGTGGGGTGGGGTGGAGGGAGACAGAATGACATCTGGACGCAGTTCTGATGCTCCTGACTCCTCCACCCTTGACAAGGTGAGGTCACTGTGTGAGGAGGGCATGAGTTAGAGAGAGGAGAAGTTCTGGGCTCCGTGGGACTTGGGGTGCTGCCCCTCCTGTCTATGAGCCTCGGTCCCCCCATATATAAAATGGGCCTAAGAGCTCCCAACCCTCCAATGCGGATCAGTGTCATTTCCTGATGGGAATGCACGTCTTCCGGGAAAACTATAAAATGCTTTGAAGGGGAAAAAAAATGGTGTGAAGGGCATTTTTACTGTGGCTTGAAAATATTATGCCATATAATCTCATAGAGAGTGGGGAGGGAAGAGCTCACTTGGAGGGAAGATTTAAAAGGATAAGACTGGGAGCATTAAGTGCCTACTTCTCGCCTTTAGTCTTCCTCTTCTGGGCCATCCAAGGGGGCCCTCTCACAGAAGGGGTTGGGGGTTGTCCCTGCCCTGTCCTGCTCCAGAGACTGCGCTGGCTCCCCAGTACCCTGAGGATACAGCACAAAGGCTTCCTCTTGGCATTCAGAGCTCTCCCCTGAGCCTTTGGGACCACTGTACTCTGAGGGGTATTCCAGGCTGAGAGGTGGACTTGCTGTAATCTCCAGCCTGGGAATCAGGCCTATGGCCCATCCACTCACCTACCGGTTAGGATGGCACAGATTCCCGGAAGCCTGGGCTCATCGCCAGCCCCTGCTTGGGCTGGAGGACCTTGGGAAAGCCCCTGTCCCTCTGAGGAGCCTCAGCTGCCTCTCCACTGAGTGACAGGTAGATGCAGACAGACTTGCCCTGGCCCTTCTGCAGCGCACTGCCGGTTTTGCTGCTCAGGGTTGTCAGGGTGCGAGGGGACCCCAGCTAACACTCCCCATGGGCCGTGTCTCTCCTGACAGATTAAACTCTGGGACATCCCCAAGCAGCTGCTGACCAAGAACCTCACAGCCTTCAGGAAGGAGCTGGTGGGCCACGCCCGCAAAGTGGGCCTGGTGGAGTGGCACCCCACGGCTGCCAACATCCTCTTCAGCTCCGGCTACGACTACAAGGTGGGTCTGTGTATTAGTCTCCTGGGGCTCCCCTGACACAGAACCACACTGGGTGGGTCAAGACAACAGAAATGTATTCCCACGGTTCCGAAGGCCAGAAATCCCAAGTCAAGATGTTAGGAGGGCCATGCTTTCTCCAAGGCTATAGGGAGGAGTCCTGTGCTGCTTCTAGCTTCTAGGGGCTCCAGGCTTTCCTTGGTGTGTAGCTGCCTCACTGCATTCTGCCTCCATCTCTGTCTTCTCTGTGTATCCACGTGTCTTTTCTTCTCATAAGGACATCAGTCATGGCAGGGCCCACCCAAATGCAGTATAGCCTCATTGTATTGATACCTCATTACATCTGTCAAAATCCTATTTCCAAATAAGGTCATATTCTGAGGTTTCGGGTAGACCTAAGTTTTGGTGTGGGACACTATTCCATCCATTAGTCTTCCTGGAGGGGGTGAGCTGGACCCTGCTCAGAGATGCCTCACCCTCCTTCACTGACTGGGCCTGTGGGATGAGGACATTCACAGCACAGGAGATCTGATTCTGCTCCCACTGTCCCAGTCTGACTTACAGTGTGACCCGGGAAAGTCCCCATTCTTCTCTGGGCCTCAGTCTGTACACAAATGGGGTTGATGCCATCCTGAACTCTTCCTTTCACAACTCGATAAGGCTTTACAGAGGCACCTCAGAAGCCTCTGTGATGGATAAGAGGGTGGGATGGGGGTGGTTGAAAGGTCCTCTGCCCCATTCTGATCAAAAGGGCTCTGTTGTCTGTTTAGATAGGGTGTGCGGCTGCTCATGGGCCTCCCGTGTGGCTCAGCTGGTAAAGAATCTGCCTGCGATGCGAGAGACCTGGGTCGGGAAGTTCCCCTGGAGAAGGGAAAGGCTACCCACTCCAGTATTCTGGCCTGGAGAATCCCATGGACTTAGAGTCCACGGGGTGCAAAGAGTCAGACACGACCGAGCAACTTTCACTTCACTGCTTACGGTTGTGCAGTTCTATCTGCACACAGCTCCAGGGGGCTCTGTTCACATCTTGGACTGTGGGAATGGGCTGCCCTGGAGCTGTGCCGTATACAGCCTCTGCAGCTAAACATGGCATCCCTTATTAACTGTGTGGTGGAAACTGTTGCTAATGACTGTTTGAAACCCCCTGGATTAGCCAGTTCCCTGGGGTCCTCCCAGCATGGATGTTGCGTTGCTCCAAGCAGATGGTGTTTTCTTTTCACCGCTGGACAGCCTGACTGCTGACTTCCCCCTCCTGCTACGTGGCCACGTCAGCGGGCAGATCCATCCTCTCACCCGAGGCCTTTTGGCCAGACTGCCATCTGTGGCTTCCCTCCCGGGGATACTGTGTTTCACTGCAGCCTGGCTGGCGTGTGACCGTGGGGGCTGGGGCAGGGCTGGGGGCGAGGCTGGGTTCAGAGCCGGCTCTCTGCTGTGCAGGTGATGGTCTGGAACCTGGATTCAAAGGAGACTGTAATCATGAGCCCCGTGAAGACAATTAACTGTCACCAAGACGTGATCCTCTCCATGTCCTTCAACACCAACGGCAGCCTGCTGGCCACCGCCTGTAAAGATCGCAAGATTCGGGTTCTAGACCCCCGAGCAGGGACTGTCCTCCAGGTTGGTGCCAGGCTGGGGTCTGGCTTGGGGTCGGAGGAGCCAGGGGTGGAGTGTGCATGGGGAGGCATAGGGGCTTCTGAGAACAGAGCAGTGATGCTGTCAGTGTTCTAGCCAAGGTCTTTATGCATGGTATCCCCATCTGTTGGGAGGTGTTGAATACATCATACCCATTTTCAGATGAGAAAAGTGAGACTTAAGAAAGGCTAAGGGACCTGCCCACACTGAAAGCTGAGACTTGAACCGGGTCTAACTCCAAAGCTGTCAATATGCCTCGGCTCTGTCAAGAGGCATGACGTGGAGTCAGGAGACCATAAGGTACCACTGTTATCCACTGTGTGACCTTAGACAAGCGCTTTCTGCTCTCTGAGGTTTTATTTTCTCATCTGCAACAAGAGGACATTAGTCCTTCCTCTGGGAAGTTTAAATGCAATAACCCAGGTGACGGTGCCCACTTGCATGTAGTGGATGCTCAGTAATAATCTTAGCAAAAACGTGGAGCTGGGCTGAAGTCTGCCTCTGTCTTAATTTAAAAAAGAACCCGCAACAAAAATAGTGGGAGAGACTTTATGTGGTTGGGGAAGATCCAGGAGGGCTTCCTGGAGGTTGGTGCCTCTGGAAGGATTCCCCAGGCAGAACTGGGATGAGAAAAGAAGGCATTTCGGGTGCAAGACAAGGAGTCCCTGACCACACGTGTCACTCCAGGAAGCCAACTATAAAGGGCACCGGGCCAGCAAAGTGCTATTTCTGGGGAACTTGAAGAAGCTGCTGTCCACAGGCACATCCCGATGGAACAACCGGCAGATGGCCCTTTGGGACCAGGTGAGTCACCACACCACCCCCCAGCACCTCTTCGCTGAGTGCTGGCTTCACCTGTTCACTCACGCATTCACTCACTGACCAAACTGATTGATGAAAACCAGGGAGGTGCCAACAGCCTGATGGCAATCACCCAGATCTTGTGCATCTTGTCATTCAAGGAGGGGGAGGGGTCAGGACTTAGGAGAAGCCTCGGTGTCAGGGAGGGGAGGTGGCTGAGCCCGGGACCAGGACTTGGGGTGGGGTGGGAGAAGGAAAGGGCCTTCTGGATGTGGGGAACAGATGGAGCAAGGACTTAGGATGAAATAGGGAGGCTTGTGAGCAAGAAGAGCTGTCTGTTCAGCGTGGGTGGGGGTGGGGAAGGGGGTGAGGACCAGGCCAAGTAGTACTGATTTCAAGGAGCTCTTGGCCAGAGTTGAACACTGCTTCCTCTCTATCTCTGAACCTCCTTGCCTCATAGTAGATATAATCCCGGAGGAGGAAGGCTGGAGTGACGTCATGCGTATGAGAAGTGATTTGTTAAAGGCAAAATGCCAGCAAGGCAAAAGGAGGTGGTCTGTCTCTCACACACACGCACGCACACACACAGAGCCCCGGGGCAGGAATTCTTATCTCAGCACCGCTGAGGTCCTCCGTGAGTGACCCACAGGCCTTCCCGGACCTCCTTCCTTTGCAGGATGACCTGTCTGTGCCTGTCACAGAGGTGGACCTCGACGGCTCCTCCGGTGTGCTGTTTCCCTTCTACGACGCGGACACCAGCATGCTCTACGTGGTGGGGAAGGTCAGTCTGGCATGGGAGGGAGCCGCTGCCTGGTCCCGCCAGCCTGGGGCCCCTGGAGTGCAGGGCAGGGGCAGGGCCAGGCAGGAGTGGCTGGATCCTCTCCCCCCGTAGTGAGCCCCCCAGCCCTGTCCCACCTTCTGGGCTCCACAGGAGCACCTGGGGCCAGGGCTTTGGCCGGACACCCTGAGCTAGTCACCCCCCCGATTCTGGGTCCAGATGAGGAGGGGCCAGTTGGTGTTTTTTGGCAGGGGCAGCTTCGAATTTGGGGCAGAGGGGGTCTTCACCGGGGGTCAGCATCCCTGGCCCCTCACCCCAAGGTCAGGCACAGTAGCCACCTGCCCACCCAGTCATTATGACAGTGATGACCTGAATGAAGTGCCCCAGGGGTGAGACCCGCTGGATGCTCTCAGGACTCCGCACTCTTGACCTTCGTGTGTAGCTCTTGGATGGAGTGGGGTTCAGGTCTGTGCTCCCCAAGCCTCTGCCTTGGAGGCACACGGGGGGGCTTTGGGTCATGGTTGGGGGGGTTGAGTGTTAAAGTGAGGACCCCCTGCTGCCGTGGAGACCAGTCCCTGGTATGCCCTGTGTGAGGTGGCTCTGCCAAGTCACACTCATAGTGAGCATCAGGTTTCTGACGTGTGGCCGTGGGGCCAGGCGGGGGGTTCGTGGGACCCAGCTCTGAACGGTGCCCTCTCTCCCACAGGGGGACAGGAACATCCACTACTATGAGATCAGTGCCAACAAACCTCACTTGAACTACCTGACGGAATACCACTCCTATAATCCACAGAAGGGGATCGGTGAGTGTGGACGCGGAGGCCACGTGGGGCCTGGGGAGATGGGCATGAGGCAGCTGCAGGCCCTGCCCTGAAAGACTCCCCATGTGGAAGGTCAAGACTTTGAGTTGATGGGAGCTCTACTTGACGTATGTGGGCGGTTCTCTGGGAGCAGAGGAAGAAGCCAGGGAGGGCTTCCTGGAGGAGGCAAGACCCGAGCAGCCCAAAGGGAAGCAGAGCAAGACATGGGGAGAGTGCGGAGGTGTTGCAGCTGAAAGCTGAGCAGTTAAAACAGGAGCAAGAAGGTGGGGGACCCTGACCTAAGAGAGGCCCTAGATTTTAAGTATGTTTAGGGGTAAGAAACAAAACAAGGCAGGATACAACTCTGCGCCCTCGACAGGAAACCCACTTATTCATAAAGACACAGCTCGGTTAAAAGTAAAGGTGGAGAAAGATAGCGTGCTGACATTAATCAAAGGGGAGCTGGAGTCGCTGTATTAAGGGCATCTGGGGGAATTCCCTGGCGGTCCAGCGGGCCACGCTCCACACTCCCGATGCAGGGGGCTTGGGTTCAACCCCTGGTCGGGGAATTAGATCCCCGCATGCTGCAACTAAGTGTCCACATGCTGCGACTGAGACTCGGTGCAACCTAAATTTTTTTTTTTTTTTAAAGCGGCACAACCTAAATAAATAAATTTAAAAAAAGAAAGACCATCTGGGCTGGGAGCTGTGGGGATAGTGATGGAGGGCTTTGAGCAGAGCACACTTCCTGTAAAAGTCTGGCTAAAATCCTTAAAGATGACAGGCGAAGCCTGATGGTTCCAACCCCATCTCCCCAGTATAGGGCCTAAGCCAGTGCAGGACTCTGTTGAGGGAAGAACAGTGGGAGGAAGGCGGTCTCCGTTCACACCCAGGTGTGAAGCCTGGCTTTGCCGCTCGCTCGCCCTCGGGCCCTGCTGCCCTGGCCCAGCCCCTCCTACGTCATCTACCCACAGGTGTTATGCCAAAGAGAGGTCTCGACGTGTCCTCCTGTGAGATCTTCCGTTTCTACAAGTTGATCACAACCAAAAGCCTCATCGAGCCCGTATCCATGATTGTACCCCGACGGGTAAGGGCGGTGGGAGCCATCTCCGAGGGAGGGAGGAGCCCCTCCTGGAGGAGGAGGAGCCTGGGGCCTGGAGCCTGTTGCCCGTGCCCCGGGGGAGCCGCCGGAGGCTGGTGGCCTCTCCTCAGAGGGGAGGCTTTCTTGGCGTGCTCCCCCTCCCACCGCTGTTCTTGAGTTGCTCCATGAGCTGGGGCACGGCCCTTTGCTCTGGGCCTCAGTTTCCTCCACTCACAGGGGTTGGGGGAGAGTCTGCACCCCAGGATCTCTAAGAGGTCCCCCCAACCATCCCCACTCTCACTGTCCTGATTGCTCCTGCAGTCAGAATCCTACCAAGAGGACATCTACCCGCCCACGGCCAGTGCCCAGCCCTCTCTGACAGCCCAGGAGTGGCTCAGTGGGATGAATAAAGGTGAGGAAGGCAGAGAAAAGGCTCGGGTAAATGTGGGGGACACTGGAGTGTCCAGTGGCCCCAAGTGACTGAGAGGGTCTGGCTGATATTTGTGTCTTCCCGTAACCCATAACCCCAGAGGACTGGTGGTTGGCAGCTGGTTAAGAGCAACCAGGGGCCTCTCCTGGGGGTCCAGTGGGTGAGACTCCGGTCATTAGGATGCATACACGTGGATCGAGGCAGGAAGGGGCTTGCCCAGAGTGGCTTAGGAAACTCCCCCCAATTCAAGGAATTTTGCTCCATGGAAAATGTCTTTTAAACCCTGGGCTGTGCAGAGTGACTGGACCATCTCAGCTGGATCCCCTGCCCATCCGCCCACCACTTCTGCAATTACTCTTTGACCCCAGAGACCTTGTAGGCAGTGGCCCTTGCCCGGGCCCTTCTGCCTGCTCTGCCTGCCCTGACCCTCACTCCTGGGTCTGCCAACACAAGGGCCTGCACCGTGGGAGGCCGGTGTTGGGAGAGTTCATGACCTGGTAGATGGCAGAGTGCAGCACGGGCGGGAGGAGCTAGCGGTGTTCTGGGGCAGCCCCTGCAAACCCAGCCTCGCTTAACCACATGCGTGCATTTACGCTCCGCTCTGGCCTGTGGGCTTGTGCCTGTCTGCGTGGGGCCACACATGTGGCATGTATCTCTGGGTCTGTGTGTGGCTCCGTGTGTATCAGCGCCCCTCAGGCGTGTCTGTTCAGGGGCCCTCCAACCTCTCACAGCCCTCTGCTTACCTCCCAGAGCCCGTCCTGATGTCCCTCAGGCCTGGGGCCGAGCCGCTGAGCCCGCAGCCTCTGCCCTCAGAGAGAACCCTGTCCGTGCCCACGGACCCCACCTCGCCTCATCTCCTTAACCAGACGGGAAGGCTGCTTGCAGAGGATGGCCGGGGGCCCTTCTCCCTGCCAGAGGAGAAGGCGCCAAGGTGGGCGGCAGAACACAGGCTGGAGGAGAAGAAAACCTGGCTCACGGATGGCTTTGACATCTTTGAGTGCCCCCCACCGAAGACAGAGAACGAGGTGCGAATGCGGTGGGCATGGGTCTACCAAGGATGGGAAGCAGCTGGGTGGGGAGGCAGAAAGTGAGGGCGAGAAAAATGACCAGCGGTGTGGCCCGGCCTGGCCACTGAACCCACCTTGCTGGTTCATTTAACAAGCAGGTCGTGAGCACCATCCCCATGCCAAGATGTGGTGGGTTTACTTACAGATGGTGTAAAAAGCCGAGGGTTTGACTTGGGTATTAAAGTCCCTTCCGGTTCTGACTCTCTAGGATTTTCTGTGCTCTCAGAGTCAATTTTTGTTAAGTGTCTATCCCATGTGCCGGGTCCCAGTTAGACAGGCACTCGTATCATCTGATTGTATTTTCTCAACGGCCCAGGGAGTACGTAGCGGCTCAGAGATACAAGGGCTGATGTCTCGTGGAGGGATTCTGAGTCTGGCTCTCCTGAGCGCTAATTCTGGGACCCAGGGGCTGACTCTCCCCCAGCCTCAGCTTCCGCAGCGGTGACCTGGGAGCACTAATGCTACTTCCCGCCCTCACGGGGTCTTGTGAGCGTTCGGTGGAATAACGAAGATCCTAGGGGAAACACCCAACATCTAGTGCCCTCCCATACACCAGCAACAGTTGTCATAATGCCGAGGCCAGTTTTCTGACCCCCAGTTTCCAGGGGAAGAAACTGAAGTTCAAGAGCAGGTAAGTAGCCTGTCCAAGGTCACACGCTTTAGTGGTGGTGAAAACTCCAGTCTCCAGGACTTCAGGGCCAAGTATCCTTTCCTCCACCTGCGGGGAAGTCTAAGGAGACATGAAATGTCTGAAACGTCAGTTCTTTTTTGAGTTTCATTTACTGGGTGAAGAAAGCACGGTTTTGTAAAAGATCTACCGTGGCTGCCCCTCCAGTCTCAGCCTTGTCGATACAGTCACCCCCTTTCTGAGTGGCAGGGGCAGTGCTTCCTGCTGGTGTCCTGCCCCCTTGCGTCCCAGGACAGCCCTCCCGGTGACCCTCCCCTCCGCTCTTTGCTCTCCCAGCTGCTGCAGATGTTCTATCGGCAACAAGACGAGATCCGAAGGCTCCGGGAGCTGGTGACCCAGCGCGAGGTCCAGGCCAAACAGTTGGAACTGGAGATCAGAAACTTGCGTATGAGCTCACCAAGGCTTTGAGCAGAGTCCTCTGCCCTCCTCGCCCTCAGGGACACCAGTCGGCTCCATGCGGAGGTCCAGAACCAAACCACAGGTCCTCCGAGAACAGCTACTGTTTCTATATTTTTTACCAGAAATGAAACTCTTGGTCGCTGAAAGATTCCAGTGGGACCTGCTGCCGATTTTCCAATTGCCTTCTTAAAACAATGGTGTCTGAACTGACTCTTTTTACATGATACCTTGCCTTCAGTTGACTTGCTTTGAAGGGTCCATGATAACTTCTCAAGGGGAAAACAGTACTGTAGAAAGTTAGAGCTGGAACGACCTAGGAGGTGAAGCTGCCTCTGGTTTTCAAGCTGTGGTTCATAGCAAGGCAGGGTGGGGAAGGGGAAGCCAGGAGGGCTGTTTTGTTTTGTAATATTGGCTGCTATGGAATACATAATTCTCCTACTAAAAATTAGAAGTTTGCGAAGAAGCGGCATGGTCCAGCTTCTTTATTTCATAGATGGGGAAACTGAGGCCCTGAGGCAAGTAATCAAGGCCCCCAGAGAGTACGTGGCTGGGCTGGGCTGGGCTCCTGGTCTCCTGGGTCTGTCTGCTGTGTGTGCGGCTCCCAGCCCACGGGGCAGGAACCCATCAGTTCTGGGCTCGTCTGTGCCCCTGACTTGCTCTGTGACCTCTCGGAAGTCATTCACTCTCTGGCCTCACTTTCTCCATCTGAGCGAGGAGGCCCCTGGGATGTGCTGTCCTTTAGAGGATCTGCAACCTGAAAAGAAAAATCCGTGGCCTTGACCTGAGGAAAGCTACTTTGCAGGGTGATGATCTGGGTTTGCTGCAGGAACTCAGATATTGACAAAGGGGCAGAGGAAGTTTAACTTCCAGGAAATAAGTCAAGGTTCCGCCTAATTGTGGAACACAGAAACAAGGCCATCCTCTCTCCCTTCAACTGGAATCGGCCAAGTATGTGTGGACACTGTCCCTTGGGTGGGGATGCAGACAGCAGAGTGGGGCCCGTGACCACTGACTGCCACCACCAAAGCCCCGAGGTCATAGAGCCTGCCTCCTCCAGGATGATGTAGGCAGGTTTCAGCCCAAGGTTACAGGAGAGGTCCCCAGGAGGTGGGGAGCCCCAGCCCTGGAAGTGTGGCACCCACCCAGGAGGGCTTCTGGAGAGGGATGCCTGTAGTGAGCAAGGAACTGGGACCAGATGACCCTGACTTCCCTTCCAGACTGACAGTTTTTCTGTGTCTCTCTAGTGTGTATGCTGAGCCCTTTCTCTAAGGCGCTCTCTCTCCCTCAGTGGTCAGTACAACCACCCAGCTAGAGACAGGGAATGCTGGAAGTTAAATGTGCCCCTCCTTACCAAGGCTGTGCCAGCCGTGAGTTTTGCCCAAAGCACAGGGTGATCCCGGAAGTAAGATGGGAACTGCAGGAGGGCCACTTGGGCCTGGTATGTTTCAACCCTGGCTGTATGTTCGAATTCCTTTGGGAGCCTTCAGGAACCACAGATATATAGGCCCAACCCCAGACCACTGATGCCGAATCTCCAGAGCAGGGCCTGGTCTGGTATATGTTTTTTAAGTTCCCAGATGATTCTGCAGCACAGTTGGGACAGAGACCCAGTGGACTGGCCCATCTGTACCTATTTTCAGTGAAGATGGGGATCGTGAGCACCAGACAGGATCTGGGACTCCAACCCCATCTTCTAAGTCCAGGCTGAAAGCTCCTAAAAAGCGGGAAACATCATCCTGGGGGTCTCTGGGACCCCCGACTGCAACACAGTGAGGGCTCTGCGCCCCTGACGGCCCCTCCCCTCGCCGCGGCTGAGACCCCTCATTTGCCCACACACACCGGACATGCCCACGTTCCCCGTCATGTTTACCAAGTTGCTGGGTCCTGCCAAGCTTGCCAAAGGCCAAATCTCAGGCACTGTTGGGGGAGCAGAGCTCCACTGAATGGGGTTACCTCCCCCCACCTCGTCTGTGACCGGCACTTCACAGTTTACAAAGCCCTCTCACCCCCACTCACTGACGCGTCCTCCTCTGACACAGGTGAGCTAGGCGTTGTTATCCCCAAGTGCAAAAGGAAATAGCTAGTCTCAGAGAATGAAGAATCGTCAAACCCAAAGGCACAGGCGGAAAGGCTGGGAGGTGAGGTCCTGTCTGGGGCGCTGCCCACGTGCCGCCTCCACAAGGAGCCTTTCCTTCCTGCCCAGGCTCTCACCCCTAAGGGACCCGTACCTCGTGCTGAAAAACAATGCAAAGGCATCCATGAACAAACTGCTTTTCCTTTCTTTTTTTTTACATCTACAATAAATTATTTAAATTATTTCACAGCAAGGGAGAGGGATAGGTAATTTTTATCAGATATTTTTTTAAGTCATTTTTTAAAAATTGTTTTAGTTGTTGGCTGATGAAGTAGGACTTGCCCAGCATTTGCAGGGCCCTCAGGCTCAGGACAAGCAGACTGTGTTCTCATCTCCTTACTCCACACCCTGAGGACCCCCTGACTGTTGACTCGGGAACTTTCTGAGAGTGAAGACTGCACTGGGAGATGAGCTCTGGCATCTATCTACAATCACTGAGATTGTATCATAGACGGAAGCAGGAAGTCAGAAATCGAGCTATGCTTTTAATACGAAACCGTGCCTGAAACCCTTTGATTGTTTTAATGTTGTTTCTGAAACTCCTTGTACCTTTATAAAAAAATAACTAAAAGTGAAGATAAATAGATGTGGAATTGTGCAATGGAAAGAAGTTAACAAAATAATAAACATCTGCCTAGACATTTTAATACATGGAGTTTTCCTTGATTTGTTTCACAAATACAGGTTTCCCTCACTATCTGAAAGTAGAAGGTGCTCGTGAAACCTTTCATAAAAGCCAAAATGGCTAAAACGTGAAGAAGCAATTACCTTAATGCAAAATAAGTCAAGGGGAAGCACAGATGCTCACAGACGCAGTTCAAAGCTAAGACAGGGTCATGTTAAGGATGCGGAGTGTCGTTCCCGCAGAAGGAGCGCGACGATACCACTCTGACTGCCCGGGGCGCTAGGAGGTGCCTGATGCCTCTATAATAACTTCTCAAAACAAATGCCGAATTTCTTTTTTTTTTTTTTTTTGCTTTTTTCCTTTTTTTTTTTAAGAAAAGCGAGAATCCGCTTCAGTTTTGTGTTAGTGAAAATAAATACTCATGTAGGTCTTTTGTGAAAGCAAGATGGCCTACAGTGAACTTTTGGAGGGAGCCTGGGCGTGGAGGATATTTTGCAGGGACAGGTGCAGAGGAGCGATTTGTTTTGAAAACCCAGGAAAGCAGTTGGATGGAGAGCTGCAATGCCTAGGGAGTGTCCCGCAGAGATGGTTATGAACTCTTTGGACAGTTTGAGATTGAGGAGGATGAAATGACATCAGAGGAGTGGCTATGGGTGCACGGAAATCCAGGGCACGTGGGGTCTTGGAAGGCTGTGCTTCCCATAGCCACTCCTCTGTATACTCCATGTTGCCAGAAGTGGGTGAACCTCACTGGTTCTCTTTCCCCTGGACTGGGGGGGCGGGGGGGGTGCAATTGGGACTACTCATCACAGTTCCCTGTGAAATGGTCATCACCGTCAAGTTAACACCTCACATTACCATTTTTGTGCATGGTAAGAACATTTGAGAGCCAATCTCAACACATTTCAAGTACACAGTAGAGTGTTATTAATGACAGTCACCATGCTGTACATTAGACCCCCAGAACTTATGGGTTCTATAACTTAAAGTTTGTACCCTTTTCCCCCACCCTACCTTTTTCTGTCAGCCCCTGGCAACCACCTTTCTACTCTTTGTTCCTATGAGTTTGACTATTTTTTTGGCTTAGATTCCACAAATTTAGATATGGTACAGTATTTGTCTTTCTACATCTGGCTTATTTCACTTAGCATAATGTCTTCTAGGCTCATTTATTTAGAAAAATGTTAGGATTTCCCTTTCTAAGTCTGAATAACATTTCACTATACATACATGTACCACACCTTCTTTCTCCAGTCATCCATTGATGGCCACCTGGCTTGTTTCCATATATTGGCTATTGTAAATAGTGCTGCTGTGACCATGGGAGTGCAGATATCTCAGAGATTGTGACTTCATATTCTTTGGCTATACACCCAGAAGTGGGATTGCTGGATCATATGGTAGTCCTATTTTTAATTTTTTGAGGAACTCCCGTAATGCCAACTGACATTTCATAGATGCTGAGACTTTAGCATGGGGGCGATTGGAGTTTCCAGAATGGTTTCTCACAATTGCGGGAATGGTTATGTTTCTTGGGGAAATCAGGCAAGAGAGAATTAAGGGAAAATGAAAAATGTAGGTAATGCACAACATCCCAGAAGGCCACAACCAACTTTGGTCCCACCCACAGGGCCGCAGTTTTTCTGATCAAGACAAGGGTCACTTAACCGGGAAGCCCACCTCCTTCCAGGTAGCCCATTCAATGTGACCCCCATTTCTGCTGTGGCTGCCTCTGGGCCAGACACAGCCGGGAGCCCAGGCCTGAGCATTCATTCACTGCCCGGGCAGGTGGGCGGGACGGCACGGTGCAGTCCTCAGGGTGCTGATGCGGCGGCCGTACCCGCCACCCCACCTCCACCGACCCCCACCCCACCCCCACACCCCAGCACCCCCATCCCACCCCCATGCCACGCCCCCACCACCCTCCACGCCCCCAGCACCCTCCACCCCACCCCACCCAGCACATGCACCCACCACCCTCCACCCCCCCAGCACCCCCATCCCACCCCCACCCCCAGCCCCTCCACCCCCCAGCCCCCTCCACCCCCCACCCCACCCCCCCAGCACCCCGCGCCGGCCTGCAAACGGAGCCCTGCTACCCGCCCTTCCCTGCCGGAACTGTGCGCGCCCCGCCCCAGCGCCCAGCTTTCGATTCCCCACAGGCCTCTCGCGGCTGCTCGGCCGCGGCCCAGAAACGTGGGGGGCGAATGGCGGGCTCGGCGGTGCTCAAGGGGACTCCTGGGGGGTTGGGCCCCGCGGAGCCCGAAGACGCGCGCGGCGGGCCCTGCTCAGAGCACGGCGACCGCGTGGTTGAGCTCTTCTGCCGCCGCTGCCGCCGCTGCGTGTGCGCGCTCTGCCCGGTGCTGGGCACCCACCGCGGCCACCCGGTCGGCCTGGCTCTGGATGAGGCGGCGCGCGTGCAGGTGGGGACGCTGGGGCGCGAGCCCCGCAGCGACGGGCGGGGAGGGGCGTGCTGGGTCCCCTGGCAGTTGCCGGTTGGGACCAGGACCCGCAAGGCGGCCCGGGGACCGTCTCGGCGGCCGACCTGTGTTCAGAAAGAGACTGAGGAAGGGCACCGGCGAACCAAGGCCATCATATAAGCGTCAGAAGAGGTGGGTTTGGGAGTAAGAACTTGGGCGCCCGGCTGGCCGGGTATCCTGGACCTCATCCACCACGGTGGGTCCACCCCACGGCCTTTGGACCTAAAGAAAAGCTGCCTTTAACAAAGATGGAAAAATCCCTCCCGCTTAGAAAACAACTGTGTTTCAGGAAAGCCACACACACGCCTCCTCCGGTTTTCCCTCCTGGAGTTCCTTGGGGGGGGTAGGGGGCTGTGGACCCCCTGCCCCGGGGGTTGGGCCGGCCTGCCCCTCCCCCCTCCCCGCGCCCTTAACAGCCCCGTGCCGCGCGCCTAACAGTCAGCTGGGAGCTAGGTCAACCGCTTTCAGACAAAGAGAGGCTTCTGGAGGCAGAGGCTGGGCCTTGAACTGCTCCCCACGGGCCCAGTCTCACTTTGGGGCTCCCATCCATGCTAATCCTAATAGTGGAATGGGGCTCTGGGCTCCTGTTGCCGCCTAGTGGCCAACTTGTCCAGTGACTGGGCAAACCCCTGCAAAGCCCTCTTTGGGCTAGATGGGTGCCCCCCTCCCAGATTTGATTCTACCACTTCTTTCTTCAGGAAGCCGCCTGTGATTCATCCAGTCCTGCAGCCATTCCCTGCACTTAGCCGTTGTGACTTTGAAGCTAATCTAGCGGGTGGAGCCCAGGATGCAAGGCTTTCCTCTGCCTCCTAGATCTTCTTTTTCTTATCTATAAAATAGTAATAGCAACAGTTCCTCAAAATGCTGTTTTCAGAGTTAACAAGGCTGCTTTCAGAGATACATCTTCTAATAGGTAGGTCCACCTACCTCTTTCGCATCCACCCACCCATTCATTCGTTAGACATCCATTCAGCTTATACCCGTGCCACGAGGCAAGGAACAGAGCGATTCTTCCCTGACCTGGAGGCGTTCCTTGGCTAGTAGGGGAAGAACAAACCAGTGACAACACAGTATGATAAGGTCTGTAATTGGGGAGCCTGAGGCAGTGGTCAGTGGGAGCCACAGAGAAGAAATGTGAACCAGGGACTGGAAGCCCAGGAAGAGTTCCTGGTGGGGGTGGGGGCTGCCACTGAAACTGGCCATGACAGTAAGTGGGGCTTCACCAAGCACCTAGACAGGAGAGGCACCCTGTGACTGGAGGGCTCAAGCGCCAGGATGCCGCGTTATCCTTGGCTGACAGACAGGAGATTGACCAGAAGATTCACGGGAGGTGGGGGGTGGGCAGATGGAGGATGTGCTCCTGGAAGGCGGACGGTGAGGCTGTGGCCTATCCTTGGGTTACTGTTGTGTTCCCACACCCACTGCTCACTCCCGATCCCCCACAGAAACGACACCTACTGAGCATTCTGTGTGCCAGGCACTGCGGCGAGCACTGTGTCCTCATTCTTTCCAGCGACTCTGGGGGGTTGTCCCCCCCCCACCTTTTTTTTTCGCAGCTGAGGAAACCGAGGCTTAGAAAGGTGAGGCCACTTGCCTAGGTCATGTGGAAGGGGAGCTAGGACTCAGATCCAACAGGTCCTATCTGACTCTGGGACTTGGGCTCATACATAGCTTGCTGCAGCCCTCCACTTGAAGCTGGCAGCCCCTGGTAGTTCTGTTCCATTCAGCAAACACTTTAGGGACACCCCCTTGTCCCTGTAGGGGAGCAGGAGCCAAGAAGGGATCAGATCTGCCCTCTGAAAGTTCATAGTTGGTCCCGCAGGTGAATGTAAGGTGAGCCGCAAGAAGGTGAGGTGGAGGTAAGGTCACAGCTGCAGGGGGCACCGCAGAGCAGGTCTTTGAAGAAACGGCAGTTGCAAAAAGCAGAGACGTGGAAGGGAGTCCGGAGCCATGTAGGTGGGAGAGGGACCTCTTACACATGCAGGCCCTCTGAACACCAGTCCAGGCCAGAGGACCACAGACCAAGCCTGGAGGGAGGTTCCGTGAAGGCAGCTCCTAGAACAGACCCCAGCGCATAACAGCACTCAGGATTCACTCTAGAAGTGCATGCTCTTCGGCTGACCCCAAGCTGCTTCCCTAAAATCCTGTTAGAGGGCCTGGAAAAGCAGGTCACAAGTAGGACTGTTCTAGAAAGAAGGGAACACCTCAAGGTTCGGAGAATACCTGATGTGGGTCTCTGAGGATCAGAGGGGCCCTGGTTCCAGCTCAGCTTCCAACTTGCCTCATGACTTTGGGCAAGTCGCCATATCTTCTGAGTTTCAGGTATCTCCACTGAAAAATACACAGGGGTGAGAGGAGATGACCCCTGGGGTGACTTGTTATCTCAGAAGTGACAACATTAAGACTTTTGTCCTAACTTTTTCACATACAGAAATTCACCCAAGAGTGTTTAAAGCATTTGGCGACCAAGAAGCAGCAGCAAGTTGACAACATAACCCAGATAGAAGATGCTGCTGAGAAGCTCAAGGCAAGTGGGGGTTTCTTCCTGATCCTAGTCGAGATGTCCACTTCTCTGCTCCAGCACAGGGTTCTCCCCAATATGGAGCAGGAAAAATGAAAACCAACCTCAAAGGGTGGTTTGGTGGGGCCTGGAGCTTCTGTAATTTAGCGGACCCTTTTGAAGAAAAAGAGCACAAAATTAGTTGCAAGACCATGAAGAGGTCATTCTAGAGAGTGGCCTGGGGCTTCTCTTTCATTAGCTTTGCAGTGAATCTGCCTCTACCCGGAGCCCTAGCCTTGTCCCGAAACGCCTGACAAAGTGGAGGAATGGCCTATTCTCCCTCCATCGCCAAGGCTCTCCTCTTGAACAGACTAGTCCTCCACCCCCTGCACCCCAAATTGCCTTAAGCAAAGAAAATATAAGGTAAGGAACATGCAAATCACACTTTAAGTTTCACTGCTGAAACAAAGGAAATAGGTTTAAATATATTTTGTGACATGTTTTTCAGGCTTATCCTGTCATAATAATGTTTACTTAAGTGGATTCTTCTGTGAGTTTTAAGTAGGCGGTTAGGGCTGACATGATCCTAGCTGCTGTTTTAACTGTGAGAATGGTATTATTGCTCTTTAGGAGCCTTTTAGGTGAACTTGGCTAGTCCCTTCCTTTCTCAGCCACATCTGCTGTCTCCTCAAAGTGAGGGCTGGGGTGGGATGCGCTCCCAAGGCCTGACTCACTGAGGGCTCTGTGAACCCAGACTGGCTACCCCAAGTCAGGCAGTGAGACTGGCTCTGACCATGGGAGTAGTTAGCACCCAGACTAGGCCAGAGAATTGGCCCCCTGTTTGTCCAACGTCCATTATCTTTTGAGTGACAGCCTGCCCCAGTTTACTGAGGACAGATGTCTTACACCTGTGGCCCTGGCTTAATTATTAATCATGTCATCTTCAAGAGCACTGCTCTGGGCTCAGGCAACTGCATCAGTCTAAGACAATATGGGAACCAATAGTTGGCACACCCAAAGGGATGGGGAGGTGCTTGGGGATGTTTAGACCCGAGAACAGGCTCACTGTCTGTAAATCTCCGAGCAGATATAGTCTGGAGGCTCCCATGGAAAAAGTTAGTATCCATGTGGAAGGTCTTGCGGGGGCAGGTTTCACCTTAATCTAAGGAATGGTTTTCCTTGAAGCTTCCCCAGCTTTCGTTTTCCCTAGTAGCTCAGACAGTAAAGAGTTTGCCTGCGATGCGGGAGACCGGGGTTTGATCCCTGGGTCGGGAAGGTCCCCTGGAGAAGGGCATGGCGACTCACTCCAGTCTTCTTGCCTGGAGAATCCCGTGGATGGAGGAGCCTGGCGAGCCCCAATCCATTGGGTCACAAAGAGATGGACACCACTGAGCGACTAACACACTCACTGACCCAACTTAAGCTTTATTTTGAAGTAATTACAGGTTTATGGGAAGCTGGAAAAGCAGTGCGTGACCCTGAGTAGATGACAAGGTTCCTTGCCCCTTCCCCCGGTGCCTGGTCCATGGTGGGAGCAGCCCTCTGCACGTCTGCTGTGATGCGGGTCGGATGGCCCTGGTCCCACTCCCGCGGGAACGATGCCAGGTGCCTAGAGCGCCCTCCTGGGTGACGCGGGCCCCAGCAGGCTGTGGCCCTCACGCCCCTCCACCTCCAGCCACCCAGTCACTCAGCTCAGCCTCTGTCTGTGGTTCTGACACCGACTTCCTCTTTGTTTTGGGGACCTGGGGATTTCCTTTCTGTTGTTTGTTTGATTGTGGGTTGGTTGGTTTTTTTTTTTAAGCTGGTCGTGTAACTTTAACATTTGCTCAGCATTTCTATGTGTTTGAAAGTAGTAGAAAGGAAGATTTCCCATGTCTGCTCCTTCCCCCTTTTTTGACTCAACTATGTCATTTTGGAGAAGGAAATGGCAACCCACTGCAGTATTCTTGCCTGGAGAATCCCATGGACAAAGGAGCCTGGTGGGCTATAGTCCATGGGGCCGCAAAGAGTCATACACGACTGAGCAACTAACACAGGCACATGCGTCATTTTGGGCTCCCTGGTAGCTCAGCTGGTAAAGAATCTGCCTGCAGTTCGGGAGACCCTGGTTCGATTCCTGGGTCGGGAAGATCCCCTGGAGAAGAGAGAGGCTTCCCACTCCAGTATTCCCGGGCTTCACCGGTGGCTTAGACAGGAAGGCTACAGCCCACGGGGTCATAAAGAGTCGGACACGAATGAGCAACTAAGCGCAGCACATATGTCATTACGGGGGTTCGGTGCTGTGGTTGTTTTTTAAGATCCTAACCCTTTCCTATGTCATTAAAAGTTGTTTATCTGTGTTGGTATTAGAGGCTGTATGTGCCATTATATGGCTCAACCATGACTCATGAAACCATTTTCCGAATGTTGAACATGTAGATCCCGTTCAGTTTCCACTCAGGTGAAGCAACACCGCAGTGCTAACTGGCACCTGATTTATGTCCTTTGGGACACGTTCCCAGCGTGAGTCAGCTGGCTCAACAGGCACAGGCATTTGTGGGGGCTCTGGTGCATTTTACCAAACTGCAGCAGGTGCGCGCAGGCCTCGTTGTGGCAGAGAGGTCTGGGGCAACCACGCCTTTCCGTCCTTGCTTTCTCAGAGGCAGTACTAGGGCAAAGACCATCTGCCTGGAAATTAACCCATGAAACAGCTTGGTAAACAAATTAAAACCAAGAAAGTTCATAACTGGCCAAAGTCTACTGATCAGAAGCCAACAACCAGGCCCACCCAGTCACGCCTTTCCAGAGAGCAATCAAGAAGGGCTTGATCTTGAGTCCCCACCCAATACCCTATAAGTGATTTTTCCTGAATAGGCTCTTTGCTTCCCCATCACAGCTCTTCAGGGGGCTGATACATCCAGGTGTGGGGAAAATCAACACTTGCCCGCTGCCCTAACTTTTTACTCAAACTGGGATAAGATGACCATATACCAGAGTGGTTATAGTCTTCTTTCAAATCTTCCAAATTTTCTACAGTGAACTTTTGATGCTTTTGTAAATGACAACAAAAAAGTATATAAATACACAGTGTATAGAATCCTCCTGCCAAGCAGGAGACTTGGATTTGACACCTGGGTTGGGAATATCCCCTGGAGAAAGAAATGGCGACCCACTCCAGTGTTCTTGCCTGGGAAATCCATGGACAGAGAAGCCTGGCGGGCTACAGTCCATGGAGTCGCAAAGAGTCAGACATGACTTAGCGACTGAACAGCAATATATATAATATATATATAGTATATTGGTTCACTTTGAACTGATGTGCCCCAAACCAGTGTACTTCTTTGTTTCATTGCCAGAATTCTCTCAGTCTTTTTTTTTAAAACCATACTGCATAATCAGTCTCAGGCTGCTTACACCTTAAGCTTTCTGTGTTGAGATTTATAACAATGTGTAGTGTCATTAAGCTTATTTTGTATATTCTTCTTTAAAAAGTGCATCTGTGGACAGTGCTTGGAGTACAGGTTTGTTGGGAGAAGATATTTGCTCTCAGTTTCTAGAAAAACGTCCTCCACGTACATACGTTGCCTCCAAAATGTGTTGATAAATCAAGGGTTTAGAACACATTTTCTTTCCTTCAGTTAGTCATTCAACAAAGATGTGCTTTCCAGGCTTTCTGACTCATAAAACCATGTTGTAGACTAATTCCCAAGGTAGCCAAGAACTGTTTAATCGCTATGGCATGTGGTGGTATACGTTAGACTCAGAGCCTGACCATGCGGAGAACATTGTATGGGAAACACAGACTTTGGGAACTCATCCCCTAGATCCTGACAAGCCACACATTCTCGCCCAACTAAGGAGAGAACATGGCATCACAGGGGAGCCTGCTCATCCCCACGCCTGCCTGGATACCAAGGATCTTCCTGCTTGTGGGCTGTATAAATGTTTGGTCTGAGGAAAGATACTGGCCTAATTTTTTTTTATGATTTTAGTTTTTAATTGCACTAGTAATACATAAACACATCTCAGTTTTAAAAATTTAAATAGTGTATTAGAATACAGTGTAGAACTTTGGAAAGTACAAAGTGAGAATCCCCTCTTGACCCTCTCCCCAATCCCACACCTCTCCCCAGACATGACCAGACAGATATTTTAAATGCACTTAGCAGACATACAGATGCAGATATCCATATACATTTTTTCTTTTGTGATTTTTTACATAAATGAGACCATCCTGTATGTATTATTCTGCAGCTAGCCCCTTTTCACATGATGTCTTGAAGAGCTTTCTACGACAGGATATATAGGTCCACTGCATTCTTTGTGTGTGTGTGTGTGTGTGTGTGTGTGTGGCAAAATACACATAAAAATGACCATTTTAACCATTTTTAAGTGTATAATTCAGTGCCACTAATTACATTGACAGTGTTGTACAGCCATCAGCACTGTTTTCAAAACTTTTTCATTACCTTAAACATAACTCCGTCATCACTAAGAAGTACTTCCCATTCCCCTCCCACGAGCTCCTGGTAACCTCTGGTCTACCTCCTGTCTGTATGAATTTGACTGTTCTAGATATTTCATGTCAGTGGAATCATACAACATTTGTTCTTCTGTGTCTGGCACATTTCATTTAGCATCATATCTTCAAGATTCTTCCGAATTATAGCACATATCAGAACACTGAATTTGTTCTAATCACTGGATATTATTTCAGTGTGTGAATGCGGCATAATTTGTACAATGAACATACATATACTTCTCATATTGAAACTTTTATCCAACTTTTCTGTCGCCAACAGTGCTATAGTGAGTGTCTTGTTACACAAATCTCTATGCACATATGAAGACATTTTCTAGGATTAATTCCTGCAAGAGGAGTTGTTGCATCAAAGGATTTAAGCATTTAAAATTTCGATGTTATATCACCCTCTACAAATTCGAATAGCTACTCATAGACACCGCCACTCGTGATGTAGGTAAATGCCTATTCCACACACCCTTACGGATTCTTGGTATTATCCATCAGTTAGCACTTTTTCCAGTCTGATGGCCAATATATACACTTCCTTGATCTTGATTGTTTGGGATGCTGGGGCACCTCTTCATGTCTGCTGTCTGCTGACATGTCTGCTGACACTTGTGTATCTCTGGTCCGTTTTTAAACGGAGTGATTTATACGTTATGGACAGTAAGCCTGTGTAGTTGGTCACCTGTCATGTAGCTTTGTTTACGCTGCCTTACCTCTTGAGAAGCGTTTCTTTTTTCATGTGATCCAACCTGTCATGACTCCCTTTTTGCTCTCTGAGTCTTATGGAGGTCCTCCCTTCCCAAATTTTTAAATATAAAATTGTTCTATATTTCATTTTGATAGGCTTATTATTTTTTAATGTATAGTGCCTTAATTTATTTAGAATAGTCTGTTTAGCTTTTATTGTGGAAAACCTCAAGCATACATACATACATGTCATCCAGACATATAATTTCATTGGTAAAACTCTGAGCATATTACCTGTATATATAAGATAAGGACTCATTTTTAAAATCAAGTATCAATTTTAAATACATAAAAAAGTATTTTAAATCAGGTATCATCATATTAATATCATATTATATTAATATCACCATATTAACAATGGCTCCTTAATATCATCAACTATCCAACCAGTAGTCACATTCCCAGTTGTTTTATAAATGTTATATTTTGTTTGTTTGAATTACAAGTGAAATAAAGTTTTCAAAATGCAGTTGATTGATGTATTTCTTAAGTTGACGGTAACCATGCTCCTCTGTCCTCCACGTGTCTTCTAAAATATATCTCTAAGTTAGATCTAGAGGCTTAATCAGATTCAGATTTACATTTTTCACATGAGTACTTCACAGGTGGGGTTCTGTCTGACTTTATGTTTGTATACAGAATAAAGTAAGTATCTAACAGTTTTATCAAATAGATGATTAATTGCATGCTGTACCAATACCATCTCTTGAATTATATAATTTATATAATGTTAATATATAATTATATAGTTATACATAATTCAGCAAATATATGTATTTACACTTTTCTAAGCTGATCTTCCTCGCGATCTTTTTGCCCGTCCCTGAACCCCGTGGTTTTAAATCCTCTTCCTTCACAGTTCGTTTTCACTTCCCTGAGGGTTCAGGCAGTAAAGAGTCGGCCAGCCGGCAGTGCAGGAGACCCGAGTTCCATCCCTGGGTCAGGACGATCCCCTGCAGAGGAAAAGAACAACCCACTCCAGTATGCTTGCCTGGGCAAACCCCATGGATAGAGGAGCCGGACTGGGTTACAAGTCCGTGGGGTCGCAAAGAGTCGGACACGACTTAGCAAGGCAGCTCATCTGCATAGATCTTTTATTTATTTATTTTTTGTCTATGCCATGAGGCTTGCAGGATCTTAGTTCCCTGACCAGGAATCAAATGCGTCCCTTAATAGTGAAAACATGGCATCCTAACCATTGGACTGCCAGAGAATTCCCCTTCATTGATCCTTTAAAAAACAGTTTTTGACTTTTCCTGTGCTTATTCTCTCTCACAATAAATTAATATTTGGTTAATATGCATGTTAAGACTTTGATTGGGATTGTATCCAATTTATACAGTAATTTGGAGACAAATGACATTTGTATAGTAATCAATCTTCCCAGACAAGGATATGGTTTTTCTTCCATGCATTCAGATTCTGTCTTTCCATACAATTTTATGCTTTTATTTATCTAGGCCTTTACAGTTTTTGTTGGGTTTAATTTTAAATATTTTGCTGTTTTTTCTGCTGCTTTAAAAATGATCTTTATTTCTCCATACATTTTCCAATTGGTTATAGCTAGTACTTAGGAAAGCTTTTTATAAAAAAGCTAAAGTGCTGAACTCTCTTTTTAGAAGCTATAATAGTTTGTTTTCATGTTGATTATTTTAGATTTCCTGGTTGGCAATTATATCATCTACAACTGGTTTTGTGTTGTTTGTTTTTTAGGCTCATGCAGAGTCAAGTAAAACCTGGCTGACCGGGAAATTTACTGAACTCAGATTACTACTTGAAGAAGAGGAAGCTCTGGCCAAGAAATTCATTGATAAAAACACACAGCTTGCCCTGCAGGCGTACACGGAGCAAATCAAGTCCTGTGGGGAACAAATTGATGTCATGAACACTCTGTCCAGCAGGGTCTGGACGATCAGCCAAGAAACTAATCCCGCACAGCTGCTGCAGGTAAGGCTGGGTTTCTGCTCCGCAGTGGACTCTGGCCGCCGTATTCCATCTGGGTTAATGTGGCACTGAACACGGGGTTCACACGTTGAGTAAATACACAGAGAATTGCTTTGCCATCATGTAGGCTTCCTTGCCCCCACGCAAGTCAGAAAACATACATTGTTAGGAAGATAATATACATCTTGGACTAGTTAAATGACATTATCAGCCACCATTTTTGAGGGCCTCTGTGTTCCAAGCACTTTAGGTATCTTAGCTGTAATATTTACTAAGAACTCTGCAAATTGGACATTCTCATCCCATTTTACTAAGGAGAAATTGAGGCTCCAGGAGATGCAGGAAGTCATCCAAGGTTATACAGCTGGTAGGTGGTAGATCAGGGATCGGGTCTGTCTGAATCTAAAGCCACAGACATCTCTGCCTGGTCCTCTGACTATACAGTCTTAATGGAAACATCACTCTGGGAAAATCAGGTATCCTTGCAAAATCTACTAAGCAGACTTCAAGAGCTGAGTCACAGTTTGCTCAAAGTGGAGAGAAGGACGGGCCTCCTTGGCCATGGGGCTCTGTTGGAGGCTATTCTACTGAAGGAGCATCTAGAAACTAGTCTTGTGGTGCTCACTGCTACCCTGAGTGAAGCGTGCTGTTGAGGGTGGAGTGTCTGTCTTAAGGGAGCCATGGGAGAAGCTCTTCTGTTGGTGAGAGTGAAAGTGTAGTCGCCCAGTGTGTGACTCTTTGCGACCCCATGGACCGTAGCCCACCAGGCTCCTCTGTCCATGGGATTCTCCAGGCAAGAGCACTGGAGTGGGTTGCCGTGCCCTCCTCCAGAGGATCTTCCCAGCCCAGGGCGCTCCCGGGTTCCCTGCAGTGCAGACAGATTCTCCACCGTCTGACCCACCAGGCTCCTTTTCTAGAGCACTGGAGTGGGGTGCCATGCCCTCCTGCAGAGGATCTTCCCAGCCCAGGGCGCTCCCGGGTTCCCTGCAGTGCAGACAGATTCTCCACCGTCTGACCCACCAGGCTCCTTTTCTAGAGCACTGGAGTGGGGTGCCATGCCCTCCTGCAGAGGATCTTCCCAGCCCAGGGCGCTGCCGCGTTCCCTGCAGTGCAGACAGATTCTCCACCGTCTGACCCACCAGGCTCCTTTTCTAGAGCACTGGAGTGGGGTGCCATGCCCTCCTGCAGAGGATCTTCCCAGCCCAGGGCGCTCCCGGGTTCCCTGCAGTGCAGACAGATTCTCCACCGTCTGACCCACCAGGCTCCTTTTCTACTCATCTGACTCTTCCTCTTTCTCTTTGGCATAGCTTCTGGGAAGCTCAGAGCCAAATATGTTCCATATAGCTGGAATAGACTTTGTTCACATAGCTTGTGCCTCATCTCACTGCCTTCTAGCTTACATTCTTATCCTGGTTCTTCTCTCTTGGCTTCACCTTTCTCAGTAAAGGTGAATTGTGCAGCATTAGATAACTTTTGTAAGATGCTTTAAAGGTTTGTAGGGTGAGGCAGAGTACAGCTAAGTAAAGACGGCACTGAGAATAACCACGGATCAGCATGGGCTCTGGTTGCAAAATACGGCAGGGAAATAAGTCAGTACAAAACTAGTCAAGCCAGACGCTGGAGGGTGTTTTCACTCTTACACCTTTATGTGGCCTTGGTCAGTTCAGCCTGTGAGTCGTGGTCAAATAACAGCGACAGTAGCAACAAAAAGCCTAACAATTCTCTGGGTGAGGTGCTCTTCTAGGCACTTTAGACATTGTACTTGAGAAGCAAGATACAGAGGGATACATTTCTTTCTTTCTTTTAAAAGGATGATACACTGAAGAATATCTACTGCAAAGGGATGCTTCCATGAGAAGAATGTTAATCTTTCATCACAGATACAGTTTCAGAGCTTTTTTTTTTTTTTTAATTCCCTGGTTCCAGAGTTACTGATTATCATCATTAATCGTTCCTTTGATTTGCTCACTCTTTCATCTAATATACACTGAACCACGTGATTGCAGCAGGCCCCTGCTTCACATTAGGAGCTCTTGGGTGGGGAAACGTGCTCAGAAATATTCACAACATAACAAGGCTCAAATTAGCAACTAAAGGTGTGTCCAAAAAAGTCCAACTCTGCGTGGGGAATCAGGGAGGGCTTCCAGGAGGAGGTGACAGTGGAGCTGGTGTCAGAGGATGAGGAGGAGTTCACTGGGTGTGTGCAGAGGGATGGAGCAGAGAGGACACGGCAGGCAGGAGGAGCCATGTGCCCGCGAGAGCTTGGCAGGCTGGAGATCCGCTTGGGTTCAGCCTGGCTGGAGGCAGGGCAGGGTTAGGAGAGGGAGGGGTTGTTAGGAGATGCAACTGGATAAGGAGGCCAGGGTTAGTTGATGAAGGATCTTACATGCCTAGTCATGGAGTTTAGATTTTGTCTTGTAAAGAGAAAAGGGGTCAGGGGAATGTTTGGGACCGAGGAATGACATGGTCAGATCAATGGTTTAGAAAGGTCACTGTGACAGGTTGGAGGATGGACTGGGCATGCAGGACTGAGGCTGGAAGGGAAGCTGGGAGGAGACCACAGGTACCCAGGAGAGAGATGATGGTGGGCTGGACCAGTGAAGGGGCAGTGGGGATGGGGAGAAGCAAGCAGGTTTGAGAGATTGGTGATTAGGGGAATCCAAGGTGACAGCTGGTTTCTGGCAGAGAGATACGTGGCTATATGGCTGTTCTTTGAGTTTGCAAAGGCAAGAGGTAGATATTCTTGGTTTCATTCATTTATTCCATTATGAACATTTATCAAGAACCTTCCATGTGTCGGGCCCTGTGCTAAATGCTGCAGTTTGGTGTTACCAGGTGGTCCCATTTGTCCCTCATTCCCCATCTTCCCCTCTTGGCCACCCTCTGGACACCCAGAGCCGCCCCCTGCCTTCTCCACTAGTGCTCTGACCCCCTGGCCAGCCCTCTGGGTGTGACCTTAGCCCTCTTTCCCCACAAATTCTCTTCTCCCCGCCCAGATGAAGACAGGCTCTAGACTTGTAGCTTCCTGGGCAGAAGCTTCCAGGGCTTAGAGAGCATCCACAGCCCCTCCAGAGACCCAGCATCTCTCCTGCCAACTGCTGAGCCACCTTCCTTCCTTCCTGAGGAGTCCATCTGCCCCTCTCATCTCAGGCAGCACTGCCAACCAGCCGGGGCGTGCTCGCCTAGGGCAATCTGCTATCTTCTAAATCCTTGCCTGGGACTACTCTCCAGAAAGTGTGGACAGGGATCTTAGGTGCAAACAAGAAAATCCTCTGTAACTGTTTTAAGCAGGAAAGCAGTTTATGAAAGTATTAGGTAGCACACAGGATCTGCAGGAGGGCGGGAAAGTCAGGATAAAGACCAGGCCACAGGAGTGAAGCCAAGGCTACGGCACAGGCTTGCTCCAGGGTAGACCCCACTGCTTCTCTCCCGGGTGAGATGTCATGTCTTACACCACCGACCCAGGGCCGCCCCCAGAACCTCCGCCTCTGCTGTCCCTGACAGCCACATGCCGCTGTCCCACCCACCCTCACTTCCACATCCAGAACTTGGAGTGGAGATGCTGTGGGTGCAAGGGGGACCAGGACTGTTTTCAAGCTTCTCCTTAGCAAAGCCACACTTGACTCAGGAAAGGTATTTAATAAAAGGCACTGTCCAGACAGAAAACAGGACAGCCCCCCACTGTGCTGGGCTCGCCCCCTCAGTCCGCTTTCCGGTTGAGCTTCCAGAGTTGTTGGCTTTCATTTTTGGGGACACGGTTTTCTGTTCCCCGTTTTGGACATGCCCCGGGAGCACCTCCCTCCAGGAAAACTGGCCCCTCCTTTTGTTCCCGTGGACTACAGACCAATCCCTGTCACAGTGTCTGTAAAGCTTTGGGGTCCCTTTCAAGGCGGTGAGCTCAAGGCCAGGGCAATCAGCCTGCCTCCTCCCTCGGCCCCCCGATGCTCAGAGCGGACCTCAGTACACCCCGCAGGGAGGGAGCCCTGGGGGCGGGGTCTGCTCCTGGGGGCGGGGGTGTGCTCCTGGGGGCGGGGTCTGCTCCTGGGGCGGGGTCTGCTCCTGGGGGCGGGGTCTGCTCCTGGGGGCGGGGGTGTGCTCCTGGGGGCGGGGGTGTGCTCCTGGGGGCGGGGTCTGCTCCTGGGGGCGGGGTCTGCTCCTGGGGGCGGGGTCTGCTCCTGGGGGCGGGGGTGTGCTCCTGGGGGCGGGGGTGTGCTCCTGGGGGCGGGGTCTGCTCCTGGGGCGGGGTCTGCTCCCAGGGGCGGGTGTGGGCTGGCAGCAGGGCTCAGGGCCGGGTGGGGCCTGTGCTCGCTGGCTGGGGGTGTCCCTGGCGTGATGGTGGAGACTGGAACATGGCCCCAGGCGACCCTGAGCCCCGCGTGCCCTCGCAGGAGTACACGGCCGCTGAGCAGCAGGTACAGCAGCAGATGAGCCTGGGGGAGCTGTGCCACCCCGTGCCCCACTCTTTCGAGCCTGTCAAGAGCTTCTTTAAGGGCCTCGTGGAAGCCATGCAGAGCCTGCTGCAGACGCCGCTGGATGTCCGCCTTAAGGAGAGTAAGTCGACTGTGTGACCGCCCTTGGGCCCTTCACTCCCCTGGCGCCGTCACTAGAGATGGCGCAGTCAAGTCTGAGTAAGTCTGAGTCATGTCTCTCCCGCACAGAGGCCCAAGGCTGGGCCCAGTCCTCCCTGCCAGCCTCCCCTCCTGTGGTCCTGGGATGGGTCCTGTCTCTCAGGGCCTCACGGCTCTTCTCCTGCCCCTCCCTCAGTCGCTCCCGGGGTCCTGCCTCACTCAGCACCCAGCTGGACGGACCAGCTCCCCCCGCCTCCTCTGCCTGGTCAAGACCCACAGCTGCCCTTACTTGGGAAGCCCTTCCATGGGCTCCCTTGCTCGCTCAGCCGTCCGCCTCTCTGCCCTGGGCCCGCTCCATCTCCTGCCTGGGGGTGTTTGTGAGCTGGATACATGGGCCCTTCTCTGCCTCTCTTAAATGCCTGGAGGGCAAGAACCACTTTGGGTCCATCTCTGAGGTCACCATAGGGCCTGACACAAAGCAGGTGCTCAGAAATATCCATCCCTTCGTCTCTGTTATTAGGGTTCGTCCAAAACAGTCATTGAGCCCTGTTATGTGCTGGGCACGGCAGGGTCCAAAACAGTGATCCTGCCTTTGTGGGGCTCAGTCTTTTAAGGGGAAGACAGTCAACTAATGAATACGTATCAGCAGTAAGAAGTGCCTTGAAAAAATAGTGCTGAGTAAGGAGAACAGAGGGTGCCCAGGAGAAAGAGCTATTTTCTGTGGGGAAGTGGGGAAGGCCCCTTTGAAAAGGGGATGTGGGAGCTGACTTGAAGCATGGGCCAGAGAGCTTAGTGGTCACAGGCATGGACTCTGGAGCCAAACTGCCTGGGTTCCTATCCCAGGCCCACCACTTCCTGACCCTGCCATCTTGAACAGGGCAGTTATTTTCTATGCCTCTGTTTCTGCATCCATAGAATGAAGATGATAATATAGTCCCGTCTCATAGAGTTGTTGTAAGGATTAAGTGGGTTCTTACATGTAAAGTGCTCAGGCGTAATAAGCACCTGTGAGCACTAGCTATTATTGTTACTGCTGCTGTTACATCTGGGGGAAAATGTCTTCTAGGTAGAGGGGAAAGCAAGTGCAAAGGTCCTGAGGCACAAGGCAAGGGTGAGTTTGACTTGCTGGGGGAAGAGCAAAGGGCAAGGGGCGGAAGCAGTCAATTGGAGTAGATGTAGGCACAAGAAGGGAAGAAGAGAGATACCAAGGAAACTCCAAAGATTTTGAACTGAACAACTAGAAGGAAGTTGTCATATTCTGAGATGAAAAAGAGCGCTTAGAATTGGAAGGAACAGCCCTTTTGGCTGTCTGAGTAGCACCATAGGGATTTGCAAGAGCAAGTGCTTGACAAAAGGCAGCAAAAAGGAAGCCAAGAAGAAAAGTGAGTGGTTGATCCGTTTTCTAAGAAAGGTTGTGAAAGCAGCAGCTATGTTTCAAATAAGAAATTTTGGAAAAACCCTAGTCACAAGAACTCTAGCAACCCAAATTGCATCTGATGGCCTTGAAGGTCACCTTTTGAAGTGAGTCTTGCTGATCTGTAGAATGATGAAGCTGCGTTTAGAGAATTAAAGCTAATTCCCGAAGACGTGTCGTCACTCAGCCGTGTCTGACTCTTTGTGACCCCATGGACTGTAGCCGACCAGGCTTCTCTGTCCATGGGATTTTCCAGGCAAGAGTACTGGAGTGGGTTGCCATTTCCTTCTCCAGGGGATCTTCCTGACCCAGGGATCGAACCCAGGTCTCCCGCATTGCAGGCAGACACTTTACCCTCTAAGCCACCAGGGAAGCCCAAAGATGTTAAGGGCAAAACCGCCTTTCATGGCATGGATCTTATCCTTGTCAAACTATGCTCCATGATCAAAAAACGGCAGACCATGATTGACACGCAGGTTGATGGAAAGATTACCAGTGGTTACCTGCTTCATGTATTCTCCGCGCTTTGCTAAAAATAAAAAGCACAAGCAGCACCACCGTCTGTATGTGGTAGACGCCTTCATCACCCCCATTTGACAGGTGAAGAAGCTGAGGGTCAGAGAGGTTAATTGACTTGCCCTAGGTCACACAGCTGGTGGGGGTCAAGGCAGAATTCAGACAGACTGTGGTCCCAGGGATTGTGTTCTCTTCCCCTGGAGTCTGTTTCCTCCCTCATCCAGATGAGGCCGTCATTCTCACTATCACAGGTAATACCGAGAGCTACTGCCTCCTAGGAAGGCTCCGAGGAGATGGGGGTCTTGCAGCACCACTGCGCTTCCCGCATCCCGCCTCACCGCCCTACCTGTGAGTTCCACAGACACTGCAGGTCCAACAGGCCGAAATGGAACCCAGCATCTTCCACCCGCTAACCCCCAACCCGCTGCTGGTGCCTCCAATCTACTCTGCATTCCCCGCTCCCAGGAGAGTCGAGCCTTGGAACTTGTACCACTGCAGTACATCCTAAACCTGGCTCCTTTTCCATCCCTGCTGCCCCAGGTCGGCCCTGACCTACCCACAGGATGTGTCTACTCTCAGCCTCCCCCGGCCATTCCACATCAGAGGGAGCCTTGGAAATTCTTCTGCTCATGTCTACACTCCTTCAGACACCTTCCTTGGCTCCTCACTTTTTATGTAAAAATACTCCAAGCACCTGTCTTTGCTCCTGCTATGTCCTTGGGAAAGCCTCTCATCCTTTTTCTGGGTGTCCAAACCTTCCCCAAATCTTTAAGGGCCAGCTGAGGTGCTTCCTCCTCCAGGAAGCCTTTGCTGACCCCTCTAAGCCCTGGAGCCCTTTCATGTCTCTTCTTGGATCCAGAGCACTTTCTGCCTTGCAGTATAGCTCACACACTCCCATTTCTCTCCTCACTGACCTGACTGAATTGTTACAGACAGGGATTGTGACCTGGGTTTCCCCTGAACTCTCTTCTACCTGGATGAGTATGACCTTTTACCTGGATGAATATGACCTTGCTGAGGGCTCAGCTTTAATTTCCTGTATTCTATCTTTATCCTAGAGTTTGCATGTCTGCCATGAAATTGCCCCCTTCCTTGACCATTGAATACGTGGTTGATTCTCAGCATGGTCCTGGAGGCTGCAGTTTCCTCCCCATGTCCAGGGCTCACTCACACTGGCCTAACCATGCTTAATTTGCTTCCAGTCTTGGAAAGTGTGTTTCTCTGTAGATCTGAGCCTTGTCCTGGAGTTTTCCTGTTATTGTGAATTTGCATTTCCTACTTAAATTTGCATGCCATTCTTGGGGGAGAGATTATGTGAATCTCCAGTTCTATAATATTTTTAGTAATGTTTTGTAGTTTGTGCTGTTTGCCTACACGCCAGGCACTGATTTCTCACAATTCATTACAGGTAGGAACTGTCAGCTCTCGGGCTCCTCCTGCATACAGCCAGGTTCCTTGTTGAAAACAAGCCCTTCACCAGAGCGATCACTCTTCTTAAAATGTAAGACCCCAGGTGTGGGGAGACGGGGAAGAGGGTGGGGTGTAATGGTGGGGACGGAGGGTCACTGAAGTAGAGGGGCCTCCCTTTTATCCTGAGAGACACACCTTTGTTTTTTTCCAACCCTTATTATCAGCTTTTTTTTTTATTAATTCAGAAATAATACATGTTCACTGTAGAAAACAACATTTTTTAAAAGAAAATCACTCAAAATCACTGAAGAGCTTCGGAAATTTTTCTGCTCACCTACCAAGCAGACACGTAATAGTAGATAGCTACTACTATTTGCCCTTTTAACTTTCTTTGGCATATCTGTATATATATACAATGATAAATATTTAATATATATATATTTTACAAACATGGTGTCATACTATACATACTGTTTTGCAATCTGTGTTTTCATTTACTGAGATATTATGGATATCTTTGTTCCTTAAAAAACTATACAAGTAATGCATGCTTCTTGTAGAGAACTACAAATTACTTATATGAAAAGAAAACAATTGCCTCCCCCAGAGATAAATGTTAGTATTTTGGCATATGTTCTTTCAGACATTTTAAAAGTACATGTGTGTACAGATTTTTAAAAATGGAATCATATTATAGATATTCTTGTGTAATTTTAAAAATTTAACAGTATAGGTTGAACAATTTCCTATTTCAATAAATACAGATATCATCATTTTTTTACAGGATACATGGCATTCCATTGAATATGCCATGTTTAAATCAATCTCATATATTATTGGACATTTAGGCTGCTTTACATTTTCATTTCTGTAAACAGTGCTGCAATAACATCCATTCCTGTACTTACTTGTTGAATTAATAAGTGACTGAATACACCTTAGCTCATTTTTGGATTATTTTTTTAAGAGTAATTTCTCAAAGTGGAATTACTGGGCATGTATTTTTTTTAACTAACTGTTAACAGATATAAAATACATAAAAGAATACAAATCAAAGGTGTACAGCTCAATGATTTTAAAAAGTAAACACATTCAATAACTTCCTTCGGACCATGAAATGGAAATTTCCAGCTCCGCAGAACCCTTCTTCATGCCAGTTCACTATCCCCAAAGGGTAACTACTCTCTTGACTTCTAACAATATAGATTACTTTTGCCTGTCCTTGACTTCTATATAATTAAATCACTCAGACTGTACTCTTGTATCTTCTTCGACAGAACACCACATCTGTGAGACTAACCCATGTGATTGTGTGCAGCAGTAGTTTGTTGATTTTCACTGTGGTGTAGTATTCCATCGTTTGAACATAGCATACCTAAGTGCTTATTGATGGACATTATGGATTGTTTCAGCTTTGGCCTATAATGAATAATATTGCTATGAACATCCTTGTACATATCTTTTGATGCAACTATATGCATTTTTGTTGGATATTTACCCAGGAATAGAAGAAAAGGATGTGCAATATAACCACTACTATGCAACATTGCTCTAGATGTCCTCGAGAGTGCCTTGAGGCAAGAAAAAGAAATGTAAGCTATAAGGATAGGAAAAGAGTGGAAAAAAGACCATTATTCAAAGGTGACATGATTCTTTACAGAAAACCCAAAATAAGCTATAAATTAAGAGTTAACAAATGAATTAGAAAAACTGCCGGATGTAATGTCAGCATACAAAAATTAATTGTATTCCTATGTATTGGCAATAAGCAATTAGAAAATGAAATGTTAAAAAATATTATTTTCAGTAACACTTTCTAAAAACTTAGGAATAAATCTAACAAAAGATATATAAAATCTCTCTTCAGAAAACTCCAAAATACTACCAAGAAAATTATCTGGTAGTGTCTACTAAAATTGAACATCCACATGCCCTAAGACCTAGACTTTTCTGTAACTTCATGTCTCCAAATGTGTATAATGAACAAGAACTGTAACTGGGAGTTCAAATCACCACCACTTTTCTGGAAGACAGTTTGGCAAAGGCCTTAAAAATGCAATCGTCCCCATGGACCCAGCGATTCTTTTTGGAATATAGCCTAAATAACCAGATATATAAAAATGGATTCATTGGTGTTTTCAAAAGTCTTCTTAAAAGCTTAAATATTTTTTTAAAGCGGGGGAAGGTATAGGTTAAATTCTAATTCATCTATACATAAAAATCTTAACGTTGCCATTTAAATGCTCTTATAAAAGAATATTATACGACGTGGTAAAATGTTCATAAATACATCAATACATTTAAAAAACAAATTACCAAGAGTCTGTATGGTATGACACCAATGTTAAGAAAAAACCCATAAAGGGGCAAGTTAAAAAAGCTGGAAGGACACCTAAGTGTTAAAATAGTGATAGGGTTATTTTTAAATTTTTAGAAATTGGCAACAAATTCCATTGTACAAAATTCAAGCTGTACAACGGATGTGCATTAAAATGCTCTCTCCTCCCCGTGTTCCCCGATCACCTCCCCACTGGTGATTTGCGTGTTTCCAGTTTTCTACCGTGAACAAGCGCAGGACAGCCGGCGCTCGCTCTGTCGTTCTCCCGGGGGCGGGCCGGGGCGGGGCCGAGCCGGGGCGGGGCCGAGCCACTAGCCCCGCCCCTCAGGCCTGGCCCGGTGTCCCCGCCCTCCGCAGACGCGCGCACGCCCTGTCTGGATCCGGACACGATGCACGCGCGCTTGCGCCTTTCTTCTGACCTCCTGACGGTGCGCTGCGGACTCCTCGGCCGCCTGGGACCCACTCCCGCGCTGCGTTTCGACGCGCTGTGGCAGGTGCTGGGCCGCGACTGCTTCGCCGCCGGCCGCCACTACTGGGAAGTGGACGTGCAGGAGGCGGGCGTCGGCTGGTGGGTGGGCGCGGCCTACGGCTCCCTGCGGCGCCGCGGGGCCTCGGACGCCGCCCGCCTGGGCTGCAACCGGCAGTCCTGGTGCCTCAAACGCTATGACCTCGAGTACTGGGCCTTTCACGACGGCCAGCGCAGCCGCCTGCGGCCCCGCCACGACCCTGATCGACTCGGCGTCTTCCTGGATTACGAGGCCGGCGTCCTGGCCTTCTACGATGTGACGGGCGGCATGAGCCACCTACACACCTTCCGGGCCGCCTTCCAGGAGCCGCTCTACCCGGCCCTGCGGCTCTGGGAAGGGGCCATCAGCATCTCCCGGCTGCCCTAGTGGCCGAGACCCTCGTGAGCGCCTTGGGCTCTCCACGGCTCTGCTCTCACCGCATCCAGACGGAGCTGGTCTACGGCCTCCGCCGTAAGCGTTCCCATCCTCTCCCCCACCAGTCCTGGCCTGTGCTTTGTACAGCTCCTCTCCCAGCGGGCCCTAAGCCTGCAGGTCCCCTCCTGCTGCTGTCTCACGCGACGGCCACCGCCGCCAGGACTCACAGTACGCTGCTTGTAATTCAGGTTCCCGAAAGCAGGCAGCCACAGGCGAGCCTTAAGCACCCTGACCATGTCAGTGAACATGATCCCCAGCATCCGCTCACATACCACCCAGAACTGCCTGGCGCACGGTAGGCGCAAGGTAAATATTGAATGAGCGGGAGTCGCTGAGACTCTTCTATCCCTTAATGTCCCTTGGATCTGCTTCCTGCTCTTCACTCTCCTTCAGCTTGTCCATGTCACCTCCCTTAGGAGCAGCTGCAGGAGGTTCTTACCACCTCCTGGCCTGAACACTTTCCCAAGCTTATTTTCTGCCTTACAGCCAGTGACCTGCCTGTAACCTCACTTAATTTCTTAGGACTATCAAAAGCTTCCCAAGGACTCCAATGGGGAGGGGGACGGGGGAATCACTTTACCCTAGCATTCAGGACTTTTCTAGTCTGCCCCAAGGTACATACCCTCATCTAGCTCCTACTGCTCTTTTCAGAGAGCCTTTAGTCAGAACTGGGTTCATACGGTTCTACCTGGGTATGTTTGCCATGGCCGTTTCCCATACAAACACATTTATACAGGAAAGCCCTTTCTTCTTTTTGCCTGTCTGCCCCAGGCTTAACTGCCCCAGGAAGTCTCCCCAAACCACAAGAAATCCACAGTCTGGGACCTGTCTTTCCAGTTAGATGGGAAGATTTCTAAGGGCAGCCATGTCCTATGCCCTCCTCACCCTGAAAAATTCAGAATGTCCCTTCCCTCCAAGGCAGTGAGTTGATGACCACTAGCCAACTGCTAGTGAATCAGAACAGCTGAGTTGGGGGGGCCGCACAGATCACCCAGCCTGACCTCATTGTATATTTGGGGAGAATAAGGTCGTGAAAGAAAGTTGCCTCGTTACCCACAGAGATTAAGGACTGGGCCAGCACTCAGCCATGTGTCTCTGGCCCAGCCCTTCCAGCCCAGCTTTCAGCCTGAAAGATTTTACTGCTTGTTCATTTCTTAGGTGATGTTGGGAAGAAATCAGCAGATGACTGTTGCTAAGCAACCACAGGCAGTTTTCCCAACGGTCTTGGAATCAAAAGGAGAGGAACTCACCATGAGTGGGGTTTGGGCAGCTCAGGTATCCCTATTTTCCTCAGGTCCAAAATGTTGCCAAGGAAATGCGGAGAGCCCCTGCTTTCCAGAAAGTAGTGATGTTGTCAATAGAGAAGGCTTAGATCAGCAGGATTTCCCAGGGAAGTCGGCTCCTCCAGGAGGGAGGGAAAGGCCTCTTTCTCGGGTCTGTGCCTCCGGTTCTGAACGTTCAGCGTCCTGTTTGTCAAGTCCCTTGCGTGGTTTTGAAGTTACACTGTCCTCAGGTATCTCCTTAGGTGCTTGGCAGGAGGGCAGTGGTCGGATGAGGAACATGCAAGGCTGTGTCTCCCTTGGGGTTTAAACAGACTCTCAGTGCATTAGTTTGAACCATATAAAACTGCCTGTTTCCAGGGGTTTTTTATTTTTATTTTTTTTAACCTAAAAACAGTACTTTGATATGAGGCAGTATAACACAAGTAGAATAAAAGGCAGAAGGAACCTCGAAAGTGGCTTTAGTCCTAACCAAATCATTTAAAACTCTAGCTTGGCTAGATGTTTTAAACACTGCACTCCAGGAAAAGGGAAATTAATTCTACTGGGGATGGCCCAGAGCTGAATTCTGACAGGCAGAGGGCATTCCTGACAGAGGGAGATGGGTACGCTTGACCCCACATCTCTGTTTCGTCTCTGCGCACTAAGACTTATTCTCAGACTTATTCCCAGCCACAGGGCCCAAGTAAAAATCCTTGCTATTTTGCCAGGCACTGTTCTAATGCTTTACAACTATTAACTCATTTGATCCTTACATCACCCCAGGATGAAGATAGTTTGACAATTGTACACGTGGCAAAACTTAGAGAATGAGTAACATGCCCAGTGTCTCACAGCTAGTGGTGGGGCTGGAGTCTGTACGCTTCCACCGTGTTCAGGGGAATGCAGCCAGTCTCGAGCCGGTGCCTACTTGCTCTGGCCCCTCTCTCGTGAGGCCTGTGATGCCCTGCTTTTCCCTGGTTACCCTGTGGGATTGAGTCTGCCTTTGGGTTACCTTCCATGGGCTCCGAGAGGAAGTCTTAACACCCCGAGGGAGATTTGAAGTTTTGGGATTCATGTAGCAGGAGTCAGAGCTGAACTATAAAGGACAAAAACTGCAGTTTTTGTCCACAATCATTTGTGACCTCAGGCTAGTCACTGTACTTGATGGGAGATCATCTGTAAAGTGGGATTAATGACCCTACCTACCAGTGCTGTGAGGCTCAAATGCGCCCAGAGGATGTGAACTACCCTGAAAACTAGTGCTTGTACCATGCCAGGACCTGTTAGCATCCCAGTGGGGTTCCTGTTGGGCCTGGCAGTGCTAAGACAGCCAGTATTCCTAGCCGTCATCTGGCAGGAGCAGGCGCCTCCACCAGCATTCGGCACAGGACTGAACCTTCTTGGAGTCCAGGTCTGAAACGGTACCCATCACTTACTGTCTTTCAGACTTGAATTTGTAGAAATTTTTTTATTAATAAGAGCAAATTGCTTGCAGATGTGGTTTGTTTTAATAAAACATGAATACCATCCCTTTTAACCATGTTCTTCATTGGGAGTTTGTGTTGCTTCGAGTACCCGGCACCTAGGCCTGGACGGGGCCTTGCTCATCTCCCACCCTCTCCACAAATTCCTTGTTGCGGTCAGTTGGTCCCTGATTGAGTATCTCTAAGAGCAGGAGAAGGTCACTATTTCTAAAGGTAGTTCACTAAGTTCTTGCTCATGTGGAAATAAATCCTGCCTTCCAGCTGTTCCTATCCAAGACAATATTATGTAATTTTTGATTGACATTGAAGCCATCTGTTGTCACTAATATTTAGAGATTTCAGGGACCCTCCATCATCTCTTCTGTCTCTGCAGTTCTTCTTTGTCAGGGAGAAGGGGACAGTGATGACAGCCTGCAGGAGGCAGCCTAGCAGAGGGCACAAAGATGGCCCGGCACAGCCAGGCCTGGTGGACAGGAACCCATGCCATGAGGAGGAGACCGCCTGCCCAAGCAGCCAACATACGAGGTGGGGTGGACAAGCGTTAAGAGTGAGAGGCCCAAGGTTGAGTTCCCCATGTCCTGCTCTGATGCCTTCCGTGGCTTCCCATTGCTTATAGAATACAGTTCAGAGTCAGCAGGCTTTAAGCCCTTGCGTGCTTCCTGACCACCTTCCAAATCTTTTCCTTCCTCTCCATGTGGCCATCCCTGCCCAACTGTCACCTGGACACCCACAGCCCCTCCCATGCCTCACATCCCACAGATCGTGCCTTAGTTGCTTCTCAATTTGCAAGACTGATCTAAGAGTGCCACGACCTCCAGGAGAGCTTCCCTGGCCAACGCCTCCTCTCCTAGGCCCACTCTTCTAGCTCCCGTGGCTCGGAAAACATTTCAGTGGTTCACACATGCAGGGCCTGCTTGTGGAGGTACACTGCACGTCAGCACTGGATCCTCCCGCCTGGCAGGTACTTGGGGACATGCAGATGGGCCAGAGCTGTGCCCAGATGTCCATCCTCCTGACCTCAGGGCCTGGCACAGCGTGAGGCGGCCAGCCCTCCTGCAGTGTGCAGACAGGCCCATACTTGACCCACACACGTCACACCCAGGCTGTCACCTCTGCGTGCCAGTGGGAAGCATGTTCTAGGTAATGGCCCTCCTCCGCGCCAGCATGTTCACAGTCCTCGTCCCAAAAGACCTATGCCCCCAGCTGCTCTTCAAAGTGTGAGGCTCCCTGGCCTCTACCCTCTGAGGTCTAGAGAGCAGCCTGGGAGCGAGCGTCCCAGTCTGACGGGGCCTGGAGGCGGCTGGCCAGAGACCGCCTGCTGCAGTCTCCGCTGGAGCCCAGCTGGGCGCCTTCCCCCTTTCCCTTCAGACCCGTATCCTGTTCCCAGGCCCCGGAACATGTCCGTCTGCTGCCGTACCAAGTCTCTTCTCACTAGGAAGTCAGATATTTAGTTTAATGTCATCTCTACTCTTGTAGAAAAAAAGGCTATGGAATCAGAAAATTTGATTTTCTACTCATGATTGTTTATATGGAGAAGTGAAAGGAGTAAGCAGCCAGAAATGGATGTGGTCACACTACAGCTCTTAGCATGTCAATTTTATGGATTCTCGTGTGACCCAGAGTCCCAACCTACCCCATCCACACATACAGACACAGGTAGGTACCTTTCCAGAAACTGTTTTGGGACCCACAGGAGAGGGAGGCCTTATCTTCACAAGTAAAGAACCTTTAGAAGGCAAATTCACATATTTGAAGAGAGACTCCAAGACACTCTCTGAAACATGAGTCACAGTAACCAGGTCAAATAAATACGAACAAAGATTAAGAATCTGAAAATAATCTCAGTATCATTAGTATATGAAAGAACAGTATATAAAAGAACAAAGAGGAATATGATACGGAATGCCTGCGAAAGGTTCATGCTGTAGTTCAATAAAGTCCAGCATTGAGGCTGCTTTGTTAGCTGGGTGTAACTTCACTGCAGATCACGGAAAGGCTGATTTTAGCATCACCGGCATACGTACAAGTCACCACAAGCTGCAAACACGCCGAGCCCCATCTCACTGCACGTGTCACCTAACACTGGCTTACTTCCTGTGCCCCTGGCTAACGAAGCATGCATCCCTATCAGAATGGAAGTCCTGCATCCTCAGGCCACAGAGCACGGCCTAGCCAGTGGCAAGCCCTCCACACTTGTTGAAAGAAGGAATAAATGCTGTTTCCCTCTCTCTGCTCATTCCTCTGCCTGTAAGACACTTTGCCCAACACCTTCTTCTCTAATGCCAAGTGATCACTATACAGCTAGTTGGATTCAACCCCAGGGCAGGCAGGAGATAAGGGGAGAGAGCTGAAAGGAAGGGACATTTGGGGTCATTAGGTTGGCTTTGCAGGCCGGAAGAAGGCAGGCTGGAAGGAAGGGCCCATACAGCCGGCGTTCACCCCTCTGCACTGCACTGGGCAATGATGAGAAGCTTCTGAGCTCACTGCCCCTCCTGGGCCAGCCAGCCTGAGGCAGAGGCTGCCTATATTTGCTCCTTGTATTGCTCCAATGGGCTTGACCCAGGGCCTGGCCCCAAAATGTCTGCTGTCTGGGGATCCCCGGAGACCAGCAGTCCTGCCCCACCTCACCCAAATTCACCTGATGGTACCAGCAAGGCAATTCAGAATCCAGAGAATGGCACTTTATTTTAAGATCTGATTTTTTTCCCATGATTCTCTATCAATTCTTCCATGATGGTGTCGTCTTCTTCCACAGTGACCAGGGCCTTCTTGCCCACCAGGCTAAAGATGTCTTCAGGAGGGTAACCTTTGGGCTCCCCCACCTTCACAGTGAGCATGTCCAGTGTCACAATGCTGCCTTCTGGAATTTTCACTTTGGCCACCACAGACTTGCCCAGCTGCGGATGAAATTTCAGATTCAGTGCCAGCCACACAAGTAACTAGTGCACGGTGTTTTATCCCCAGGGTCCCTGACCAGCTTTCTCATACGAGGTGCCTGGAAAGCAGGGAGTCTGTTTTCCCCTTCGGTGCCTAGAACAATAGCTCACGCACAGCAGGGTCTTGGCCAGTGTGGGGTGGACTCAGACTCAGAGGGGTGGCCTTTACAATCAAGGACTCAGGTTATGTAGCCAAAGAGAGCAAGACCCGAATCCCAGGCACCTGGGGACAAGGCGTGGCTGAGAGTCTCTGTAAAACGGGAAGTAACAGTGCCTCTATCCCGTGGGACGACTATAAGGATTCGTGATGATGATGCCCGTAATCTACCTGGAACACAGACTTGGTCAATAAAAATGGTGATTACTTTTGTCATCATCCAGTTCAGTATCACATTTTAAACACAAGGAAACAGAGGTCTCCGGAGGGCAGGTGAGCTGGCCAAGGTCGCAAGGAGCCAAGAGGAGAACCTGGGATTCCTGACCCCTGGCCCACGGCTCGATGGACACAAACCTTATGGCCTCCTCGTTTAGTACAACAGGAATACGGAGGGCTCACGAGACAAGCATGAAAGGGGGCCTCTTAGGAAGGGGCAGACAGGCTGGGCAACAAGGAGAATGGGGACATGAAGCTCAGAGCCAGCATCTCTAAGGTCTGGTCTATAAATGCTGTCCCACAAAGTATCTAACTCTGCATCTTCCAGGTGAGGGCCAAGGAACCCATTCTGGAATTTATGTCAGGACAGAAGGTCTGATAGCTGATGATTATCAGATGTTGCGTCTTGTGGTGTCTCACTGTCTACCCACGGAGCCAGGATGCTCAGAACCAAATTCAGTGCACAGCTGCTGAAACTTATTCCAGTTTCTGAGCCAGCTTTCTCCTCTCTTCTTCTATAAGGCAGTTAGTTTCT